TGCAACCCACCCACCCCAACACGGCTATATCTTTGAATTCTAGTAACAAGGGCAATCAGTAAAGGGAATTCTTTCACACCTTCCTTCTCCATCCTAACTTTAACTTGTTGTCTCCTCACATCCTAAACCTACCCTTTGGCTTTTGTTCTAGTCCTACCAGGTATTTTTAAACTCTCAGATCCCTTTCCCTTAGACCTTCCCACAGCCTTCAGCCCTACCCACGCCTGAACCTACCTGGCTCCACTATCAGACCTTCCCAGAGCCTCAAGCATTACACACCCCTAAACCAGCCCTACTGCTTCCTCCTCCTCTCAGCCCTGACGCCAGGAAACCCATGGGCCTTCGCCCCCTACATTCCCACAGCCCTCCCCTGACCTACACCCCCAACCCCTTTCTTCACCAAAGCCCCTCTTTTTTGCAGCCCCTTTCCTCCAGCTCCCCTCCTATACTCCCCCCCCCCCACTTCTCTTGATCCTGTACTCACTACACGTCCAATCTCCCACCCTCCCTTACCTGGCCTACTCAGTTCCTACCTCCTCTTCCCCCACCATCTTTGTTATTCTTGGTACCCAGGTCACACACTCTCAGCCTCAGGGAAGGCCAATGGCAAATCCCCTCTGAAGAAACTTGCCAAGCAAACCCCATGATAGGGTCGCCCTAAGTCGGAGACGACTTGAAGGCATACAACAAAGAGTCACACCTCCAAGTCACACTCTCTCAGCCTCAGGATGGTAATGCCAACACACACACCCGACGAAACTTGCCAAGAAACTCCATGATCACCATAAGTGGGAAATGTTGAAGGCATATAACACACACACACACACACACGTCACGCTCTCTCAGCCTCAGAGGATGGCAATGGAACCCCCCCTCTGAAGAAACTTGCCAAGAAAACCCCGTGATAGTTCCACCTTAGGGTGGCCAGAAACAACTCGAAGACACACAACACACACAGGTCTCACTCTCTCAGCCTCAGAGGACGACCATGGGGAAAAAAAACCTCTAAAAAAAACTTATCAAGAAAACCCCGTGATAATTCCACCTTAGAGTCGCCAGAAACGACTTGAAGGCATCCAATTCAAAGACAAGTCACACTCTCTCAGCCTCAGAGGACGACAATGGCAAACCCCCTCTCTAACGAAACTTGCCAAGAAAACCCCTTAATAGGGTCGCCCTAAACGACCTGAAGGCACACATCCCACACACACAGAGGTCACACTCTCTCAGCCTCAGAGGATGGCAATGGAAATCATACCCCCTCCCCACCAACGCCCGAACCCGAAGCTCCATATAGCCGCCTTTACCACAGAGATGCCTCTTCTTCCTCTTCTCTCCCACCAGCTCCCTCTCACCCCCTTTGTTCAGCTCCATCCCCTCCGCTTCCCATATCACCCCGTTCTCCTTTCCGAATCCCGGACTCCATACTTCCTCTCCTCCGCTTCTCCCGTCCAGCACCCTTCGGGAGGCCTCCTTGCCCGGGCGCCTCTCCTCAGCCCCAAACAGCAGGAACCCTTCTGGCAGGACTCCTCTCCCCACCTCCGGCGTGCCCCGCATCCAATCATCGTCGAAGGTTGAGATGAGTGGCACCTCCTTCACAAAATCACAGGACGAACGGCAACTCCCGCCCATGTACCTCACAACGAGTGACAACATATTGGCCAATCGGAAAACAAAGGAGAGGCGGAACCGAAAAGGAAACGCCAATCGCTGCGGCCGAGAGGCGGCAAGGACCACGCGCTGACAGACGAAGCCTGTTGACCAATCCGTTAAACAGTCCTTGGGGTGGCCGGGACCCTGTAGCTTGAGTGACAGAAGGAACAACCAACCGCCGATCGGAAAGCC